ATATATATATATATATAAGTATATAAGAAATATTAATTAATTAAACATTTCTGATCCATTTTAACCGAAATTATCCGGCAGCATACTGGCGAAAGGCTGCTGCAAGATTTGCAGCAGATACGTGCAAGTTTCTTGCAAGAATCTGCCTTCAGAATCTTATACCAGTCTGCTGAAAATCCGCTGCAAGTATCTTACGATAAAGTATAATTCTGGTGAAAGACTGCTGCAAGATTTGCGACAGATTCATGCAAGTTTCTTGCAAGAAGGTGCCTCCAGAATCTTGCACCAGTCTGCTGAAAATCTGCTGTAAGTATCTTACGATAAGGTATAATTCTGGCGAAAGACTGCTGCAAGATTTGCGGCAGATCCGTGCAAGTCTCTTGCAAGAATCTGTCTGCAGAATCTCCCGAAAGATCATGAGCAGAATGAGGAAACAGACCCTATCTGTCTGCTGGCAGAATCTGGCAAGAATCTGCTGCAAGATTTGCAATAGTCTTGCTGCAGATTGCTACTAAGGAATCAATCAAAATATCTAGCATTGAAATAAAAGACGATAAAACCCACACGGAACAAAAACCTCTAATGGATATCCACTAGATGTCCATCATGGAGATTCGAAACCTCTATTAGATGTCTATGTAATCTCCTATAGATGTCTACTAGACATCCACAGTTCCGCATTACATACCTCCATTCGACATCCATTAAATATATTTATAGATATCATATGGAGCAATCATAGATGTTCCATAGATATTTCATAGAGCTTTGATGGATTGTAGTTTCAATTCGTCATTAATAAAATTATTTGGAAGCAAAGTCACAAATATGATTGCGAGATAGTCTTGTTTATGTAGGTGTTAACAGAATGTCACGACTGTGAGACAGTCGAGAACATGCCTATACAGCACAAAATATCCTACATATCCTTAGGACATCTTGGGGAGATCTCGATATCCTCAGAACATCCTTGGGACACCGAAATATCTTCGATGTCCTGAGGATATTCTGAGGATGTTTTGTGCTGTA